CTAGAAAATATCCTTGCAACAAATTTAGATGAAGCCCTCCACAATTCCATGTTGTGTATGAGGATTTGCATTTTGACTGTAAGCAAGAGCTATTTAATCCAATTGACACAGATAGAGAAGAGCAAAATTAAGTATTAAACAGATAAATTATCAATTGAGAGAGAATAAAACAAAGTTATGAATAAAATAGTAAAAATAGAAGGTAAAGGATAGGAAGGTAAAACAAAAATTCAGAAGTCAATATCATTAGAAATTGAACAAGAACTTCACTTAGAACAAGAGAGCGATACTGATACTGTTGATCATTGGATCTGAAAATAATGGAAACCATAGTTCCAGGGTCAGGCATATAGCTGAGAATGCATCTTATTGGCAATGGGAGTTATGCCTATAATCACAAACCCAAAGGATAACTTTATGGTTTTAGAATGTCCTGAATGTGCACACATACAAACACACACACACACACACACACATATGCATATGCATGCATGCATAGGTAAGTAATAAATAATTATTAATTAATCTTAAAAATGGCTTTTGTTCATCATTTGTAACTTTCACCTTATTTAAGTACTCCAGTATGCAAACATAATATCAATTTCCTTATATTTAAATCTGTCTGACAGTATGATGGCTTTAAATTATTCATCATGGAAAAGTTAAGTTCCATTATTTTTAAGATGAGTCACCTCATATAAAGAACAGCCTTCTAATCTGATGGGTTTACAGGTTTGACAAAGGTTTGGGAAGCCCCCGCTTCTGTGTACTGGTGCCGTGCTCCCATTGATATGTACTTTTCCACAAAAGATACCTAATATCTCACAATGAAAGTAATTCCAAAAAGTGTGGACTTTCCGTTATATTTTTTCTTTGACATTTCCTTCTTAAGCTAGGCTTGCTCTGTGAAAGTCAGATAAAGTCCTGTCATTTATATAATGCTAGAATTTAGGAGTTGGTGGCAAGTACAATCCTAGATTTTTTGAACATATGAAATACTATCTTATGTCACCCACATATAGGGAGAATGGAATGACAATTCATGAAATAAAGTTGACAGAGTATATTTTACGAAGATATTTTCAAGTCTAGAAAAAAGAGCAAAGGAATCTTCTTTTTAACAAAAGGCAATAGAGGCATCCTCTAGACCTCTTTGGAGTCCCAGGTTTATAAATTAAGAACTAATTCAAAGGCCCAAGTTGCAATTAATATCACTAGGGGTAAATGCGAGAATCCTTTTCTTTGAGAATGGTGTTTCCTCAGAGATCTCTGCGGGGGTGAGTGTACTGAGGAACTTAGAGTGGCTTGTTGTTTAATCTTGGGTGATGTGTGTAACTCTGGGTAAGTAAGAAAAGCCATTTGTGAATGATACACAGGTTACTAAATTATACATTCAAAGAATTAGATAGCTGAACATGTTTAAAGATAATTCAGTGAATGTATTTATTCATAAATGAGAAATGTGAAACTCAGAGAATAAAAAGTTCGCAGAAATGTAGTAGTTTTCTGCAAAATGAACATTCGAGGTCATGCCTCTTGACTCATAGTACAGTGTAATTAACTTTACTACTGAAGAGGGAGTAGTTACAGAAGCAAGGGGACCAGTCTCTGGAAGCAATGTTAGGTCATTAGATTAGGTACCGAACAGAGGTGAGAGGTCTCCTTTACACACTATTGCATGAAATGCATTATTTGGAAACTACTACTTTGTTGGAATATTATAACAGTGATGCTTTTTATGAGAGAAAGCTCTTATTTTCAAACAGAAGTCAACTTTGGCCATAGAAAGCAGCAAATAAATTTATTGGAAAAATATTGTGTATTTTGTGTAAAATAAGTTTATTGGAAGAAAATTGATGAGGGGCCTTAAGAATCAGGTTTGGCAAGAAATAAGAACCAATAGAAATTAGGCAGTAAGAAAACATTTCAAGTACTTGTCATTGTAACTGTGTAGTTAGAATGATTCTTAATTCATGCCCCTGCCACTAGACATTGTTCCTCAGAACTGCTGGACTCACCACTGTTACAGCTGGACCTTGAGACTCTTACCACTGCTGTGAAAAATTTCTCAGTGTCTCTACATCCATCCATCATTTGCTCCAGGGTGTTGGAGCATATAATTAACATGCATATGTCATTGGTGCAAGTTCTAACTCAAAGGTTAGAAGAAGAACGTATCTGGTCCATAGATGTTCAGAGATCAAACTTGGGGCTGTGCTCATCAGAATTCAAATATTGAAGTTCCAAGAGAGCAGGAAGGGTTTTTGAATGTTGCTTAGTAAAAAAATGATAAATGTCTACAACATATTTATGTTGTTTTAGTCTCAATCAATGGTTTATTTTATTATTTGCATTTTAATTCTTTCTAACCTAGGCAGGGATGAATTTCTTGAAGTAGAGCAGAAAACGTGCATATTTGGAGTCCTGTCCTCTTACTATGTAGTAAATGAAATCGCTTTCAAAAGTATGGTAGTGATGTTTATTCTTGCTCTTTCATCCACAGAGCCTTATTTATCACTTTTGGTAATTGTCATAATAGAGATTCATAAACATATAATGCTTATGTAGATTAAAATGCATTTAGGTATTTTTGGAATGCCACACAGGATCATTCTTGTAAAGAAAACATTATTCTACATATCTGTAATGCATCACAAAAGCCACTTTCTTCACCTTGTACTCATGAATTATGCTTTGTTAAACAACTTAGCATAAAGGGCAGAGACGTTAATTTCCTTTAAAAATCACACCCAAGGGTGTGAATGTATTAAGATAACACTTTTTATATGTTCATCAACTTGACTTCTAAGAAGAAAGACTAGTTAGGTTTCTTTTTTGTAATCTGTGATTGAAAATTAAGAATCTTTTGATAAATAAAAAACTTTAATATAAAATTATCCAAATAACTTATTGGATAGGCTGGAAAGAATATTAAAAGTAATTATTCAAGCCACAAATTTTAGTAAATGAGAAAATTGAGACTCAGAGAAATTAGATGGTTCACGTAAATTCGTGTTGTAAGTAAATTGTCAAAAAAAGACAAGAAAATCTCTTTTTTCACTTCCTTTCCAGTATTTTGTCCCAAGTTGGAGCTAGAATGATATTGCTCTTTTTTGTCTGTTAGAGTGTTTGATTCATTTTAATTTAAATTAATGAAAAATGTGTCTTTGCCTTCATAAAACATTATAAACTTCAATTTATATTTGCCAGATGATTAAAATGAAATCTCAATTCTAATCCAATACAATTCTTGTACCACTGGTGAAGTAAGCATTATTATTAACCCTAATTTATGGGGAGAGACACTGAGAAAAAAGCAGATTGCTCTGGGATTTGTGATTTTTTTATTCCCTGCTCAGTGTAAACATTTTTCTCAATTGTATGAAAGAATTATGCTGACTGATTCTTTATATTCAATTTTTAAAATAATCCGTATTGTCATGTGAACCACCTTGTAATTCATTTAGAGCTACATTTCAATTTGTGCTGATTTATACGGGTGAATTTTATGGAATGAGAAAGTGATTCATCTAATATTTATTACTAGATGGAACAGTGATAATCTTGAATCAATATAATTTTCTAAACACATATTGAAACACACATACATAAAAATACAGCAAAACTTACTACACAGTTTTCAGTAAGCTAAGAATTTCAGAGTTCTCCTTTTCTCTCCCAAATCCTGTGTTTTGTCTTCTAGAAACGATTCTCAAGTTTTGCTCGATTGCTCAATTATACTAAAACCTAATTCCAAGTCATCAACATTTCTTATTTGAAAATCAAAGAATTTTCACCTCTTATTTTTGGCACCATTCTTTTCTTCCTTACACCTTTGTTTACATAGCTCCTGGAATTATGTATGGTGTCATTTCCAAGCTTGAATATCCGTCTTGGTCTTGCCTATATGTGAAGATGGCACTCGGGAGTATTATCTTCAGGCCTATCAAATCCATGCAAGATATGATTCAGCCAACTGGTGTTCTCACTCAGATTCAGTTGTGCCAATCTGATCCCCAAGTGTGGAGTAACTTTCAATTGCATACAGTCTTTTCAGCCATCTTCTTTTCTATTATGCTTTATTTTCTTCTATTTTACTTATGCAGCAAATTAAGGACCTGCTTGATTGTTGTGATGGTCTGTGACAATTTTCAACCCTAGAAAGTATTTTGTGGAAGCTCACTCAGTCATACATAGTAGGTAACTGATGTGTGGTTTGTGTAGTGCATTTGTATCACATCTAGCAAAAACAAAATAAACACAAGAACAAACAAAAAATTTGTACTTTGCATGGAGTCCCTAATAGATCACGTATTGTAAGAGATCATGCTATGCTCAGACATGTGCACATACTCATGGTCAATTTCTGAGCATTTCATCCCTCCCTAGGGCTGCATTCCCATTGTTTCAAAGAATATATATAGCCTCAATTATATATATATATACATATATGTAAATACATATATATAAATAGCCTCAATTATATATATATACATATATGTAAATACATATATATAAATACAACTGAGAATTAACAGTAGAGATAGGGAGGTCTCCATGGAAAAATGTGTGCAGTGTGCAAACCTATGTATGATTATCTGTATGTATGTGTGTATTTCCAAAAGAATTTGTTTATATTCTTTGCCTGTCAGCATCACACTACAAAATAGTATAATTTGCACTCAAAGCAAATACTTAAGTTACCGTGTTTTGTAATGTATATAATTTTCTCTTTTTCCATTAGGTAGAAAATGGTTGCCCGTGTTCACCTATTGTGAAGATTTGGAATCAGACAACTACAGCTTTGGTTCTCCAAGTGTTTCAGGATGTAAATGTAGTCTGAACTTTCCCTGATGGGCAGTTAAATCATGGACATGCCAAACAATTTACTTTGGACTCTCCTTCCAAAAGATGCTTTGGCTTCTCTCTTGAATGCTCACTAAGCATTTGTAACTGACAAGGAAAAGAAAGAAAACTGTTAACTGGAAAGTTATCTTACAATGAAAATTACGAGCACATCTTGCATCTGTCCAGTCCTAGTGTGTCTCTGTTTTGTGCAGAGGTGTTATGGAACTGCTCACCACAGCTCTATCAAGGTGACCAGAAACCAAACCAAACACATTGAGGGTGAAACCGAAGTCCACCATCGTCCCAAAAGGGGATGGGTTTGGAATCAGTTCTTTGTTTTAGAAGAACATATGGGACCAGATCCACAATATGTTGGAAAAGTAAGTTTTCATTGTCTTTTCTTCCCCTTTTCTAGTAAATTGTGGGGTGAGATGAGGATGGAGTTAGAGTTGGATTTGAGAGACATGGAACATGAAGTGCATTATATTATAGAATGCTATTACTTATAGTCAACAGTTCAAAATAATGATTGTAAAAAATGAACTTTACCAATCATGTCACATCCCCTTGAACGTTTGTCCACATGTACTAGACTGAGTGCTCTTTACCAGCATATTACTCTCTCTGTTCTCTCATGTAAAATGGAAACAGTTAACTGAACACAGAGTTAAGTCATTTTGTCTTTATTACTGTGAATACTTATTGGAATTCACAATGTAGTTTACTGATACACTGATATTTAAAACTTTTTACTATCTATTGCTGATGCACAGGATGCTAAAAAGAAAACACTGTATCATGATGTTTAATATATTTCTGTTAGTTATTACAGAGATTGTATTCAAATTCAAGTAAATCTTTAAAAGCATATGGATATTTTTCCAATCTTCCAAATTAATTTCCATGACAATGCTGATAAATTTTAAATGTAGATTAAATACACTGGGTGTACAGTTTTTTAAAGAATCCCGAAAGAATGAATTTGATGAAATGGTCAGTAGCTTCAGACTAACTTCCCTTTCTGTCAAAAATACAGGTAAGACAGTGTCATGGCTTGTCAAGCACTTTAGGAAATTGTGTGCTGAGTAATAGAGGGCAGTTTAAGGATGTGTCATCTAGCCTCCAGGGTAAAGAATGGGAGGGGTGGGCACCCCATAGCTCAGTGGTTAAAGGTCCACGTGCTCTGCTTTGGCAGTCCAGGGTTCACTGGTTCAGATCCCAGGTGCAGACCTACTCCACTCATCAGCCATGCTGTGAAGGCACCCCACGTACAAAGTAGGGGAAGATGGGCACAGATGTTAGCTCAGGGCTAATCTTCCTCAAGCAAAAAAAAACAGGAGGATTGGCAACGGATGTTAGCTCAGGGCAATTCTTCCTCACGCGCAAAAAGAAAAAAAAAAATTAAAAAGAATCGAGTGAGAAGCAGAGAAGCCATCTTCTGATGAATTACTGATGGTTGGAAGCAGCCACACTTAGGTTTGTTGAGTATCTATGGGAGAAACAGCAAGCACAGCAGTGGAATCTCCAGGACTGCAGCCTCAGTGACTTCCATTTCCCTGCTTGACTATTTATTTTCACTTTAGCACTGTTAGTACAAAAAATTTAAAAAAATTGTACTCCATCCAAATCCTGGTGCTTCTCTAATGTGTAGGCAGTACAGGATCACGGGCCATCTGTTCCACCCCTCGTCCAACAGGGACTGGGTTGCAGCTGTATTTTCTGTACAAGGCAGGGGCTGTGGAGTCAAAATATGGAACACAAAAAAAGATCTGAAACAATTCTATCATTTTCTTATGTGCATATTAAAATGAGACAAGAGAATCAACTTCATCATATACTTTTTTCCCTACAAAGTATTCCATGAAGTAAATGGAAACAAATATGTTAAAATTAAAACATAATATATTGAATTGCTTGAAAGTTATTTTTCTTATGAACTTCAAAATTCTTTCTCTATAATCCTTTCAATCCTTGAAAAGGAGAAAAAAAGGAACAGAAAAAATTTTTCCCCTTCAGGAGTACACCAAAAGGAAAAAATATTTTATTATTAAAAAGGTTTTGTTATGCCTGTTTCTTGTCATTTTTATTTAACTAAGAAACAAAAATAAAATTTGCCAGAAAGAGGAAGGGAGAGATAAGACAACTTCTCATTTTCTCTCTGTTCACCTAGTTTTAATGAAAGATGAAGCTTCAGTAGGTAGATCAATTCCAAGCGATCTTTCTGAGCGTGGGTGCCAAGAAACATATGTTTGAGAGCTTGTTACCCATCAGGAGGTGGCAGAGGTCTGTGAAACCATTCAAGTGTGTGGAGGTTCTGTGGAAATTAGGATCTGTTCTACTGTTTGTGGTATTGATGAAGAAATACAAGGAATCACACCCAGGATGTTGTTCTCTTAATCTCTGCCTCGCTTGGGCCCCTCAATCAAAGTGTTTCTCTCTGTTCTAATCTGCTTTTGTGAGCAATTCTAACTTAATTGTACAGATTCTTCCCTCTCACCCACCACCCTCCAATATAAATACGTACATATACACATATATACATACATATATACATAACTTTGACAATTAAAAAAATACAAAGCTCAACAATCGACATGTGCTGAAAATAATTCCTTCTTGTCTCATTATTTTTATTTAAGAAGTGAATTTATATCCAACACTTATAAATAGATAATAAACAAATTCATATTCAAAAACTAGAATCATTACAATTTCTATGAGCCTGAGAAGGGACATCTCCAAAGAGCTGAAAATTGTCTCCTTTCCACCTCTCTGTCACAGAAATGCCAGCAGGAAGTTTTTCAACAGAAATAAAATAATCATCATGCATTACAGTTCTGGTATTAATATTTTTTCTAGATGTATCATATATGCTTTTTTAAATTCTCCTTGAGCTCTTGATTGTAATTTTGTATACCTGTAGTTATACTTCACATTATAAAATAATAGTCACTGGACGTTCGATAAGAGCACAAGCCTCAGTGTTTTGATACATACCAACTTCCCTTGTCTTATGATAATTTTCTTAGACTTTTCTCTGTCAATGACTGGATTTATTATGAGGCAATTTATTTTGTTGACATTGGTCAATATATGTTTTTCACTACTAAGACCTTTATGTGTGGCTAAGGCCATGATCATAAATCTATTTCTAATGGCAGATAGGATACATATACATATATATGTATAATCATATACCAATCATGCATAAATATATATATAATTGTACATATATATGTATAATTTGTAATCAATAATTTTTTTCTCGAATGTATTGGCCATGAGAGATCAAACACCAAAACTACCATATAAATATGTCTCTTGGATTTATCTCAAGGCCTAGTTAAAGTTTGGTTTTTTTTAATGATAGGTTACAATCTTGTGAAATTTCAGTTGTACATTAATGTTTGTCATTCGTGTTGTGGGTGCACCACTTCATGCTTTGTGCCCACCCCCCACCCCACCTTTCCCCTGGTAGCCACTAATCTGTTCTCTTTGTCTACATTTTTAAATTCCTCAAATGAGTGGAGTCATACAGAGATTATCCTTCTCTAACTGGCTTATTTCACTTAACATAATTCCCTCAAGGTCCATCCATGTTGTTGCAAATGGAATGATTTTGTTCTGTTTTACGGCTGAGTAGTATTCCATTGTATATATATACCACATCTTCTTTATCCATTCATCTGTTGATGGGCACTTAGGTTGCTTCTGTGTCTTGGCTATTGTAAATAATGCTGCAATGAACATTGGGGTGCATGAGACTTTTGGAATTGCTGACTTCAAGCTCTTTGGATAGATACCCAGAAGTGGCATAGCTGGGTCGTATGGTAGTTCTATTTTTAATTTTTTGAGAACTCTCCATACTGTTTTCCATAGTGGCTGCACCAGTTTGCATTCCCACCAACAGTGTATGAGGGTTCCTTTTTCTCCACAACCTCTCCAACATTTACTATTAGTTTTAGATATTTTTGTCATTCTAATGGGTGTAAGGTGATATCTTAGTGTAGTTTTCATTTACATTTCCCTGATGATCATCGATGATGAGCATCTTATCATGTGCCTATTGGCCATCCGTATATCTTCTTTGGAGAAATGTCTGTTCATGTGTCCAGCCCATTTTTTGATCGGGTTGTTGGATTTTTTATTATTGAGTTGTGAGAGTACTTTATATGTTATGAATATTAAGCCTTTGTCAGATATATGACTTGCAAATATTTTTTCCCAGTTAGTGGGTTGATTTTTGTTTCAGTCCTGTTTTCATTTGCCTTGAAGAAGCTCTTTAGTCTGATGAAGTCCCATTTGTTTAATCTTTCTATTGTTTCTTTTCTCTGAGAAGACATGGTGTCCGAATAGATCCTTTTAATACTGACGTCAAAGAGTGTACTGCCTACGTTTTCCTCTAGAAGCCTTATGCTTTCAGGTCTCACCTTTAGGTCTTTGATCCATTTTGAGTTTATTTTGGTGAATGGTGAGAAAGAATGGTCAATTTTCATTCTTTTACATATGGCTTTCCAGTTTTCCCAGCACCATTTGTTGAAAAGGCTTTCTTTTCTCCGTTGTATGCCCTCAGCTCCTTTGTCAAAGATAAGCTGTCCATAGATGTGTGGTTTTATTTCTGGGCTTTCAATTCTGTTCCATTGATCTGTGCACCTGTTTTTGTACCAGTACCAGGCTGTTTTGATTACTGTAGCTTTGTAGTATGTTTTGAAGTCAGGGATTGTGATACCTCCCGTTTTGTTCTGTTTTCTCACGATTGCTTTAGCAATTCGGGGTCTTTTGTTGCCCCATATGAATTTTAGGATTCTTTGTTCTAATTCTGTAAAGAATGTTTTGTTGGTGTTTTTGCATGTGTGTGTTAGGGAGATGGGCCCTGAGCCAACATCTGTGCCAGTTTTCCTCTATCTTATGTGAGATGCTACCACAGACTGGCTTGATGAGAGATGGTAGGCCTGCGCCCAGGATCCAAACCTGAGAATCCAGGGCCATCAAACTGAAGTGCACGAACTTAATCACTACACCACCAGGCCGGCTCCAATTAAAGATCTTTTTATATATTTCATGAACTTGTTAAAGATATTTTTAAATAATTGAAGGATTAAGGCAAGGAAGATATAATAGCACGTTTGTTAGAAAATAAGTTCTTTCTTCTGGAATAAATTATATGATAACGTCATTACAGTTTTAAAAGAAAAGCGTTCCCATCTTTTCCAAAAATCATGGAAAAACTAACACAGACCGTATAGTCTATTTTTCATTCCTCAAAAGATGAACAGTGCTGAATGAACCCCATTATAAGTAAGAACATATTATATGAAGTATCACACACATCCTAAAATGCATGTCACACATCATACCTATCATTGGAGTAGACACTTTG